TAACCAGTGATTGTTGTTCCATAAAGCTGTGTCTATATAATTTTAATTGAATTTGGTTTTTCGATGAACGGTTTTTGATTTCGGGGAAGGGAGGGTTTGATTCTCCCAAATGTACAGGCCTGGGGTGGAGCAGACACTTTATTTAGAAATTAGGATTAAGGGTCTTGATATTGGGTTTCTTCTGTTCTGATTCTGATCTAAAATTAGAAAAAATAACTATATAAGTATAGTATCTGTTATGTACTGATTGTTTTTAATTTACTATGAACAATATTATCATTTAAGTTCTTATTTTTTGAATATGCAACTATCATTTTCTGCTTATAGACATTGGGGATTTGCCATTGACTTAGGAAAAACGCGTTAAAATTTGTTTGTGAACACAATAGAGACTACAGTTTTCAACTGATTTTAATGAAATTTGGTGTGATCATTTATATTGAAGTTTGAATTTGACGATTTTTCGATGAATGGTTTTTTTTAGTTATTGACCTAGACTTAGATAAAATGCTTCAAAGTTTGTTCATGAACACAATAGAGACTACAGATTTCATCTCATTTTCATGATGAATGAAATGAATGGAGTTTTACGTCTTTTTATTTATATTGATGCGATCTTGGTCAAGTTTGAATTTTCAACAATTTCACTCTTAACAATTTTTTGCCTTGATATTAGAGCTGTGTGATTTAAAAGATTTGATGTATTTGGGTTATTGATATCGATTTTTAAAAATTTTGTGGAATTACTCAGCATAAATAACTGACAGTAAATATATATATATATCATTGAATTCAAACTAATACAATTTCTTTCTTTAATATAAGAAAATTCGTAATTTAGTCACCTTTTAATCATTTCTGACAGCTGCCAGTGGGCGTATGTTAGCTTGTCTGGTAAGCTATCTTTATAATATGCAATTCCTGCATGCATGCTGGCATTCTCTTTCATTGTGACGATAGGGAGATTTTCCGAATATTCGGACATTCACAAAACTTGTATAAGTTAAATGATGAAAAACATAGGTCGAACACGAATTTGGGTTGTATTCAATGAAAATTCGAAGCTTCAAACGGATATGCCACCCTTTGCATTTTGTATTGAATATGTTATATTTCGGGGAAGAATTGTGCCTTCTTGAGTGATTACGAGTTAAAAATTGAACTCGTTTTCAAGAGCAAGGGCTCATACTAAATATTTTTCGATTTTTCTGATTTTCAATAGGGTTTATCCTCGGGTGATAACAAACACTCATGTCAAGTTTCGTCAAAATCCGTCAAGAATTGTCCCTTCTAGAGTGTTTACGAGCTAAAAATTGAATGCGTTTTCAAGAACAAGGGCAATAACTCATACTAAATATTTTTCGATTCTTCTGATTTTCAATAGGGTTCATCCTTGAGTGATTATGAACACTCATACCAAGTTTTGTCAAAATCCATCAAGAATTGTGCCTTCTAGAGTGTTTACGAGCTAAAAATTGAACGCGTTTTCCAAGAACAAGGGCAATAACTCATACTAAATATTTTTGATTCTTCTGATTTTCAATAGGGTTCATCCTTGGGTGATTACAAACACTTATTCCAAGTTTCGTTAAAATCCATCAAGAATTGTCCCTTCTAGAGTGTTTACGAGCTAAAAATTGAATGCGTTTTCAAGAACAAGGGCAATAACTGATACTAAATATTTTTTGATTCTTCTGATTTTCAATAGGGTTCACCCTTGGGTGATTACGAACATTCATCCCAAGTTTTGTCAAAATCCGTCAAGAATTGTGTCTTGTAGAGTGTTTACGAGCAATTGTGGACGGACCGACCGACGGACGGACGAACGGACGGACGGACGGACGGACGGACATGGGTGACGGCAATATACGCCTCCCATTTCACGTGGGCGTATAAAAACACCATGACACTCCCTAGTACCACGTCTTGAATGCAACATGTCACGGTCCGTTCATCCCTTCTGCGATGACAAACAGAACCGACTTTCATCACTGAAGACGGACCTCAACCTCTGCTTTTATCCGTTCTAGGTCTGTCTGACGTGTGTCCTGTCTGCCTGTAACGTTGCAGCAAGTTTGTTACAGTAACACAGGAACATCCGAAGGTTCTTACGATGTTGGTGGTGGTGGTTTCTGACCGTAGCCCTACCATTCCCAGAGCTTGCTCGTGTTGTTGCTGTGTCAGTTTGGGCATTCTTGTGGTTTTTTATCATTGTGTCATGACATTTTATCCATGACATGTCATTTAAACCCGTTTTATACCCTTTTAGCTCATGCATATATACGTATTCAAGGATTACGTGATTTTCACCTTTTTGAGATTTTCCCACCACATTGAGCAGTGATCCGGTATAATTCCTAAAAAGGTTATTGTTGTTTTGTGGCAATGTATTTTGGCTGAATAAGTTGCTATACATTTTATTGGTTTAAGTTTCTTTTGGCCTTGACATAATATATTATTCTATACCTGATATGAAACTAACTCTTGGATATTTTCAAAGACTATAATACAAATATTTTTTTATCTAAAATCAAAGTTTATTACACTGTCTGGCAAGCTATCTATTAACTTTCACTAGTATGCAGAAACATGGACTGAATGTTATACAGGACAATGTCCATGTGTATTGGGTCAAATTCTGACCCTTGTAAATTAAAGAGTTTATATCATTATTATCATAACATAGGTTATCCAACCTTATAGGAGTAATAGTATAAAAATTTAATATTGATGATATAGTTTGCACCAAAAATTGCTTCCTTCAACGCTTTTTTCTTTTATGAGATTTCAAAATATGTACATGTATTTATTTAATCTAAAACGGAAATCAATGTTGAACTTTGAACAGTTCGCGAAATTTAATGCAACTTATTAGAGTTTCTAAGTGTTAACCTACAAACCGCAATGAAGTGGGCGTGTTTGGACGTGTTCATCTAGCTTTTTCAAGTATTCAAAAGGTCACGCTAGACAATAGGATAGATTCCGAGCGTAGATAAATGCTCTTATGAAAATCAATAGACTTAGTAATCGTTCAAGGCCAATAGTATTTACAAATAAACTAATCTGTGTCTGAAATCAGGTCTATTATGTGAAAATTACGTATCCTTGTAAACTTGATATATGATTTATATAAGATGATATAATTTTATATATCGCGCTGAATAGTCAAAACCTAACAGTACTGTGAATCTCGTTCAGCTTGACCTCTATACTATACTACACATGCGTAGTTGTATGAACAAAGCCAGCTTGAAAGAAATTAGGTCAGATATATCGCGTCAGCTGATTTCAGTTTGAACAATGTAATGGTTCATTTTACTACTCGCTGTCACTATCAAGTAGGTACATAATTATAACTATTTACTAAAATTTCAAAAGATGTTCTTAGTTGAAAACAACAACGTAAGACTTAATCGACTTTTTGTCTGACCTTTTTTTCGTCTGCTTTATTGATTTGACCTCTTTCTAATAAAATATTTTTAGAGACAAGAATATAATTTTTTATTATTTAAAATTATACTAACGAGTTTTAGTCAAACAAAATGAAGGCATTCCATAATTTCACGTCATAAAACATTAACAACCGTGTACCTTAAACGACACAATAGTTTTACTTCCCCGACTAATCAACCATCTTTGCCCTGACGGCCCTTGTATGATCAGAATAGGCAACATTTAGAGGAAATCAATGAAGAAACTAACAAACTGCAAATATGTGTTTTGCTCGGGAACTGCTTATGTCTTTGCAACTATTCTATAATTCTGTTTCTATCTTCGTTAAAATTATTGGGATGTATCGGCATATCATACACCTTGAACATGAATGTATCTACCTACACAGCTGCCATTATTAATCACTATACCTTGCTATATTCAAACCAGTTCCAAACAGGCGTAGCACAAATAATGTCATCAATTTTTTTAGATTGGGTCGACCATTAGAGCATTTATTAATTGAGTCATTATGATCTATTGTAGGTGACTGCATTATGAAATACTTACAGTGTAGCAATGGGTTAAGTTTATCAAGTAGTATGGGTTATCAATACATACAAGTTTCGTATTTTCAGTAATGCATTACTCCTTATCTGCTCTATTTAATCATTCTAGTGAATACAGATAGGTCAATAAAATAATGACTAAATCCATGTTTGTAATTCACTATAATTTTCTGATCTATCGAGAGTATTCTTTATTTGAAACAACTGACAGACAGGGAAAACTATATGTCGACATAAATAGATGTTATAGTATATAAATAGGAATACATATACACAGTGACTAGTTAGTCGGATAACTTTGTCAGATAATATTTGATCTTCTACAAAGTCAAGACGGTGCACCGAAGGGATATAGTGCTTTAACAAAATTGGTTTTACTAACTGATAGATCCAAATTTCTGCTTCGTCTTACCTTTGATTAAAATATGACGTTTAGTTCTTCTGCAAGTTTATTAAGCAGATTTCAATGACCGTAGTAACGAGGTTATGTAATCCATTATTTATAACTAATCGATTTACATCACGTATTTATTGACGGATTAGTGCAGGGTCGTAGCCAGACTTGGTTGACAGGAACCCCCTTATCCCCTTCCTTTCCTTCTGTAGCTACGGGCGGGATTACGGGGCGGGATTTATGGTCGAAATCTAGAAGCAATACCTGTAGCCTGCCTACATTCGCTTTGAAGAAATTTCTTTCGTAAAACTTTTTTATCAGCCGTACGCCAGCATAAATGAAAATAAACTTATTTTAACTACTGGCCAAACACATTCTTATACGCCCACATGAAATGGGGGGCGTATATTGCCGTCACCAATGTCCGTCCGTCCGCCCGTCCGTCGTAAACACTCTACAAGACACAATTCTTGACGGATTTTGACGAAACTTAACATGAGTGTTTGTAATCATTCAAGGATATACCCTATTGAAAATCAAAAGATCGAAAAATATTTAGTATGAGTTATTGCCCTTGCTATTAAAACGCGTTCGATTTTTAGCTCGTAAACACTCTAGAAGGCACAATTCTTGACGGATTTTGACGAAACTTGATGTGAGTGTTCGTTATCACCCAAGGATGAACCCTATTGAAAATCAAAAGAATCGAAAAATATTTAGTATGAGTTATTGCCCTTGTTTTTGAAAACGCGTTCAATTTTTAGCTTGTAAACACTCTAGAAGGGACAATTCTTGACGGATTTTGACGAAACTTGGCATGAGTGTCTGTTATCACCCAAGAATAAACCCTATTGAAAATCAGAAAAATCGAAAAATATTTAGTATGAGCTATTGCCCTTGCTATTAAAAACATGTTCAATTTTTAGCTCGTAATCACTCTAGAAGACACAATTCTTGACGGATTTTGATGAAACTGGGCATGAGTGTTGGTTATCACCCAAGGATGAACCCTATTGAAAATCAGAAGAATTGAAAAATATTTAGTATGAGTTATTGTCCTTATTGTTGAAAACGCTTTCAAATTTAGCTCTTAAACACTAAAAGGCATGATTCTTACTGGATTTTGACAAAACTTGGTTTTATTATTCAGTCCCGCGCAGAAGATTGAATATTTGCCTTATAGAGTTTTCACGAGCTAAAATTTGAACACGTTTTCAAGAACAAGGGCAATAACTCATACTCAATATTATTCAGTATCGCCCTAAAGAGTTCAGAAGAAGTGCATGACTGAAGGTTGAATATTTCATACTGGTGATTGTAACTGTACTGCTAAATATTTTTATTCAAAAATCAAAGCTGCCAGTGGGCGTATATTACCTTGCCTGGCAAGCTATCTTGAACTTTGTTGGAATATTGAAGAAACCTTGCGATGAAAATGAACTTTATATATACCATGGACTTTAGTAGTTGCTACACCAATGGACTTTTCAATGGCATAGCATTAGTCAAGATTTGAAACACTTGATATCATACGACATGGTTGAATAACAAAATAATAACCACCATAATCAATGACAATTCAACAAGTTGTATAATATTACACGCATTTAAGTAATGGTATAGTAATTATAATAAATAATTATTTCCAATAATTCCAGTTGTACCTCAAATTACAAAATCTGGTGTACTACTAGTAGTTAGTGACTTTTTATATACAGAAGCGCAGTGGAATAGTAGGCTACTTTGTAAAAGCACAAAGGTTGAATTCAGAAGGTCAATATTGTGAGAATTTCTGACTAGATATCTGAGTGCATGTGTTGTGGTAAGTAAACTTTCAATGTTATCTCATCTAAGGGATTTTCGCTCTTTTCTCAAAGACATGTTAGAGTTTCTCCTAATGGGTATAGACTACCTTTCTTGGTCGATTACTGTAGTATTGAACGAGACAACAAACATTTCTTTGTGGCGAATATTTAGTCCTGTATTGCTGTATTTGGCGTCTCAATCAATTGAGCTTCCCCGGCTTGAATTTCGTAATTTCATCTTTATATGTTCAATTGAGGTTAGGATAAGAATTAGATCGTCTGATGAATAGTCGTCAAAATAAAAATTATTAGATTATAAGATACTATTATTAGGCTTGTCTTTCTTTAATTTGATGTCTGATCAGTGAGCCATAAAACGAGTGCGTAAATTATTTTTCGTTTATCTTACATATTGTTTGTTTGTTTGTTTTCTTATATGAAATTATATATAATGGATTTGTTTATGTTTCGAAGAAATCGTTTCGTGCACAATTTTTAGCAAAACCATTGTGCATTTTGTGATACAAGCAACAAATTTGGCTAACAGTTACTTAAAGCTATCATGCTATAACTCGGCTAAAATTAATTATTGAAAAAAAATTATCAGAATTAACTGTCCGCCATTGGACCCCTCAATTTTCACACCACTATCGATAGAAATATGATATTTCTCAGTGTAATATCCACACTTACGAAAAATTCTTATTTGTGCACTTTTTGGGGTCTAGGAATCAAATATTCAAGTGACTACAACTGCGGCCATGTTTAATTTAAAGATGTCGGCACAGTATAATATAGGTGCTTAACATAATATCTGATTATTTGTTTACATCAAAGCTACACAAGAAAGTGATGTTCAAAACACACGTGTTTCAATTTTTGGCGTCGAGTGTTTTGCTTTCACTTGAGACACCATGTTTTTCTCATATTTCAAATCTTCGCGACAACAGCGGGAAATAACCAGAGAACTACATCACATAAGGCAAACAAAGCAGAGATAATATTTGGCCAAGATGTCCGTGCACGAAGGTCTGTCATGGAAGAGATAGGGACCATTTTACCAAAGGCCAAGAGCGGAGTGAACTCTGGCTTCAGTTCGTGATAGGCAGGACTTGCGCTACATGGCGGCCTATGAAGCATGTTGCTTCAGATCTAGGACCTGATCAAGCTCTTCTGTTGTTCCATGCTATAACAGATTTTTACCTGTAACCACCGGTTTTTGAATCATTGGATTCCCTCTTCCAAAATGTACAAGAAGGGGTTTATAGCTGACCTAGATGCAGAAATATTGACACTTAGAGATTATTGATGGTAACCACATTGAAATTCAACATGGCGGGGGTTGTAGCTAGTTGAAAATTAAATCATTGCATTCCTTGGCCGCCAAAATGTACAATTAACCACCAAGAATGGGATATGGAATAGTGGAGCGTATATTGGCATCACCCATTTCTGTCCGTCAGTCCGTCCATAATTGCTCGTAAAGACTCTTGAAAGCACAGTTCTTGACAAATTTTGACGAAACTTGGTGTAACTTTTTGTAATGACCTAAGGATGAACCCTACTGAAATCAGAAAAATATTTGATATGAGTTATTGGCCTTGTTCTTAAAAACGCATTTAATTTTTAATTCATAAACTTTATTATAGAAGGCACAATTAATTACGCATTTACGCAACTTGGTGAAATTGGTTATTATTGCCCAAAGATGAACTCTTTTGAAAATAAGAAAAAATCGAAAAATATTTATTATGAGTAATTGTCCTTGTTCTTGAATAGGCTTTTGATATTTTAGCTCGTAAATAGTCTAAAAGGCCGTATTATATTTAAACGTGGTAAATTGTTTATTACTACATAAAAAAAGTTCAAAAGTGACTGTAGGTTGAACATTTCTTACTGGTGATTGTTACTTTATTGGCAAATATTTTTATTCAAAATCAAAGCTGCCATTGGGCGTATATTACCTTGGCGTGGCAAGTTTCCTTTAAATTCAACAATTTTGTGCAACTTTTACGTTGAGAGGTACCAACTTCTAATCAAATCTTAAAGTTAATAATTCACTGTATCCCTTAAGAAACGGCTGGTATAGCATAATATATATTATCAAGCGTTATCTTGTTCTGACAACTTATATTTATAACAATCTTCTTAACCTCATTTATGTTACTATCAGTACATGTATATATTACAGTTGTTCAAACTAAGAAGTTCAAGGGCTACAAATTATGGACAACTACTTACACTATTTGTTACAAATTCATCTCCAACACGATCAAATTATGACGTCAAGCACAGAAGTAAAATATGATGGCAATATCTCAAATATAAATTGATCATATTAATATTACAGGTGATGGTACATGCTAAAATTCTCTGAAACAAGAATCAAGAAAAAGTATAAGGTATGGGTAAATCAAAGCAAGCGCAAAGACCCGCAGTTGAGGATATTGGTAATGACTATGATATATCTACTTTTATACCTACCCCACCGGATGGTGGATGGGGATGGGTAATTGTCTTGGCGTCGTTCGTTAGTAATTTTATTGTTGATGGTATCTGCTACACATTTGGTATATTTTTGCTGGAATTTTCACAAGCCTTTGATGAATCAAAAAGTAAAATTTCATTAGTTGGATCATTACAAGCTGGAATGTATTTATGTGCAGGTAATATATTTTTATTGATTTATTTGTCTGTGTCTTTGTCTGAGTTACCTTGTTCATTGTCTGATATGACTATGTACTTGTCGAAATATCCACGTAGATAATAATGTTTATTTGGTAATTCACAATGTTTATTTGGTAATTCACAACAGTAGGCCATTGACTGTTGGTAGACTAAGCCAAGGCTTCTCCTACTAGTCCTATCCACATTGTATAACTGTTTATAACTTTTTATAACTGAATTATATAACTCCGAAACACTTGATGCTGCAATCTCTGTCTGATATTGCATACATAGTATTATTGCCATAGACTTTTAATTATTTTGATTGGATTTCATGGTAAATGTATATACATTGAAATGACATTGCACGAAGTACATGCAAATTTTTACTGTTTTTTTATTAATGTGATGCATTGTGATTAATACGATGTCATGAAAAGGTCGGATGTAGCTGACCAATTTCAATTTATCTATCGTTGTCGCGAACCTGATATGTTTTTGTTATATGAAGCGTGTTTCTTTTCAGGTCCAATTGTCAGTGCATTAACTAATAGATTTGGATGTCGTCCTGTAACAATTGTTGGTAGTATGATAGCAGGTGGAGCTTTCCTATTAGCAACTTTATCACCATCAGTCGATATGCTACTTGTCACTTACGGTTTACTTGGTGGTAAGTGACAGATATTCGATTATAAGTTAACGCATGCAACAACCCCTTTATGTGAGTCATTTATATATCAGATATATAGGTCCTTATCACGATCTATAAGTGAGATTTACAAGCCGAAAAAATCCAAGGCCGATATGAAGGTGAGGGCAAGGTATTCGTGGAAGGATTGAGTGCATTACACCCATAAAAACCATATAAAGTCCAATTTATGTATATTATGAGGCACATCTGGCATATGTGGTTTGCGACTATGTAATGCGTTACTGCACATCGAAAAAGGCTTCGTTAATCGAATAGGAATATATTTAACAAATCCCTTCATCCAACTCGGAGGTCTTGGCTTAACTGACATAACCGAACTTTAAAAGTGACCTCTTCAACTAAAAGGGGTGACGATTAATACTTTTAGGCACAAAAGAACTAAGTTCAGTTATTTAGCTTATTGTGGTAATTTTAAAGTTTGTACTTCTAAAAAGTAAAAAATGGTATTTCAGACCTGACTAACGACTATTGAAGACCAAAGTTTAATCAGGCCCGCAATGATATATTTCAATGGCAGCTCCGAATATTACAGTGGCAAGATGCTGCGCTGCGCTGATAGTACTAAGACCACCGATATGATTAGAAAATAAAATAATAACACGAAACGACGACTTAAACTTGACTTTCCAGTGGTGTTGGATGGGTTTGTTAACGTTTGATTTGATTCTGACTTTTCCAACATTTTCACGCAAATCCCTACGATGGCTGATACTGGATTTTATAAACCGGATTCTCCTGTCAGTGCTGTTGACATGTATGCAGCGTCGTTTGGATGAGGTCCCGTTTGATCCCTCGACAGCTGGAAATTGAAAAAGATAAGTCTAAGCCGTTGCCCTGACTAAATATCTTTCGTTGAACACAAGATGACAAATCTGGATCTAACCGTTTCTCGTATGTGATATCGTGACGATATCACATCCGTATAACACGTCCGAGTAAAAACCAGATTTGTCGAGCTATATCCCGACTAGATGCAGAAAATTCAATTTCTGTTTCCTGAAAGTGTTTTAATAGATGAGATACTGTCAACTTGCTCAAAGAACAAGAAACATTGAATATCTGGCGAAACTAATGAAAACTCGAACCTAACATAGTTCGTTCTTTGTCTTAAGCATGTCTATGTGTATCAATATAATTTATAACTGTAGACAGAGTAAATTGCTTTTGTAGTTACCATTCATTACAAGAATTTAAAATCGGCTAAATTTTTATGTGGCCACTTCACTTTTTGACAGGACTTGAAGGGGCATTGTCCCCTTAATTTTAGCTACCATAGATTAACTAGATTAAATTCTAGTGATCCGGATTGCTGACATGAGATTTTAACAAGAGAATAATGATATTATGATTCATTTTGTAGGGTTTGGTTTCGGTATGATGTATTTACCAGCTATTGTTAGTGTTGGTTTTTATTTTGATAGAAGAAGAGCAATGGCAACAGGCATAGCTGTATGTGGTTCAGGTGTGGGGACTTTTGTATTTGCACCCCTATCAAAATATTTATTAGATATCTATGACTGGAAAAATGCTTTACTAATTCTTGCTGGTATTGTATTAAATGGAATAGTTTGTGGTGCACTAATGCGCCCATTAAAACCAGGGGGTAAATCACGCCAACAAAAAGTTGTAGAAAATGGTACGACCTCTAAAGAAGAGCGGTTGAAGGCCTTCTTTCAATCAGTAGACAAGAAAAAAGGTGGATCTGGTGTGGCTTATTCTTCAGTGCCTAATATTGTTATTACCAGGGTTGATCAAACTGTTGATGATATTAATTCAAGTGCCTGTGTTGAAACATTAACTACTGGTGATAAAACAGAAAGCGATCAATTAGTACAGGTACCTTGTGTTAACATGGAAGATAAAGTACACAGAAACGCCTTAGAATTACCAAATGCTAATCGAACATTTATATCAGATGCTAATATTCATAAATTAAAAGACGAATTGGCTCGTCCTATGTATAGAAAAGATCTCTTTTATAGTGGAAGTATCATGCACATACCACAATATCGTTCACAACAAGACATGAAAACTTACATTAAGAGTGTAACAAGTATTCCAGGAGACATGCTTGATGATGAGTCGTACCATTTTATACGATGTAAATGTATTCCGAATTCTGCCAGGGATGCTTTAGAACAAATGTTAAATTTCTCTGTTCTAAAGAATGTGCCGTTCTTGTTCATATGCTTTGGTAATATACTTTCGATGATCGGATTCTACGTACCGTTTGTTTACATCGCTGATAAAGCTGTCGGTTTGGAAATAGCTCCACAAAAAGCTGCATTCCTCCTTTCAATTATTGGTAAGTTGTCTTAGATAATTGTTACTTTTATAGAGTCAAATTTTTAGGTTGAAACATCGTAGTGTTGTTAGTTTAAATAAAATTTGGAAAAGAGGGACAGACAGACAGGGGCGACAGAATTCATTTTGGGCGTATACAAAGTTGATAAGCACTATACAAAGTTTTATAAATATTAAAAAAATGTCAACCAAAATCGTGATGACGCAGTTAATGCCTGGCTTACAGACATAACTATATATTTCCTTTATTTGATGGAGCTATTGATTGATTATCGACATTATTGAATAAGAATAGAATTAAGCTTGGTCCGTAGACTTCACTGAAAAGTTATTTGCCAATGTTACAGTTTGCTGTAATGATTGAAATATTCAACTTATTGGTATCTTGATAAGGTATGAGTAGGTGGTTTAGACTCAGGTCAGTTTGTTGCCTCGTCTCATGTGGATCCGTTTGTCATTATCAGTGCTGGATAGTCTGTGGTCATCGTATCACTAATACAGGTTTTGAATTCGTCTTATTAACCCGTATTAAACAAAAGAAATGGGTTGTTTCTCTTTAAATCTGATCAATCAGATCGGTAGAACGGAAACGAGGTTATGTGAACGAAACGCAGCCCGTTTCATTACAAGTATATATTACAAAGTTAGGTTTGATTTTCTCTCGGCTTCAATTCTTTACCGAAAATCATATTCAATTCTGTACAGTCCCTATGTATCAAAAATTTAATGACACGCCGATTTCGTTTTGTTTAATTAACGTGTGATTTGTTCTGATTGGATAAAATTTTACTATCAAGACAGCAGGGGCAAATTTGATTGGACAATATTTAGCTATGAATACGTAATTTTCTTCGCTTGTATTACCACGGTCTCTAGAAAGTATGGCGAACGGAGGCGTGGTTTGGACACGATGGTGTGAGATATGTTTCAGTTGTTATTGGATTTGTATATGAGGTATATTAGTAGTCAAATCATGAAATTGGGAAATGTTCCACGAACAAATGTGTCTTTGCGCTTTTGAAAAAACTTTGATATGTTTCTGTGCTTACTGGGCTTCAATTCTTATACCCTGATCATATATTGCTTTTTACTCTGCGGGATGCAATTCATAAAGGATATTTTTATACGCCCACATTAAATGTAAACCACATTGTCGTCACCACTGTCCATAGGTCTGTACATAATTGTTCATAAACCCTCAAGAAAATATAATTATTGACTGATTTTTATGAACCTTGTTGAACCCGAAATTCGAAAATAAATAATAAGAGTTATTGCCATTAATCTTTGAAGCGTGTTCGTAAACAATTTAGTTGATTCTAGAGTTGATTTACTGTGCAGATACAAATTACGATTACGCTCTCAATCTATATGTATAAGCAAAAAGGCATGCGAAAACAAGGTTGATGTGATCCGTAATAGATTTGGTGATATCAGATATTTGTCACTGGTTTTGTCATTTCACTTGGCTGAGTTACAAAAGTTGACAATTCTTCGATTCCAATTCGTATGTTTGCATTCAGGTAGATGGAGAACCTATGGATTTTGCTGATGAGAATCATTTAGTGCTAGGCTTTTTAATGCTGCAAAATTGACGTTATTTCGGATATTACCTTGTGCTGACACTAATAGCTTCATGTGGATCCACCCAACACCTCGATACTGTGTTAGAATTTGGCCCTGATATCTCATTTTATTTTTTTAATTCTAGGCATAACCAATACAGTGGGTAGAATATTAGCTGGTTGTTTGGCAGACTTCATGAAGGGACGAAGTTTACTGATAAACAATATTTCTATGTTATTATGTGGTATTTCAACGTTATTATGTCCTTTCTGCGATACCTATATCACTCTTTGTATTTATACAGCAGTATTTGGTTTGTGTGTAGGTAAGCCGTTTGAGATCATGTTAAAAGATATTATTATCCTATGGTTTACGACACAGGTACAGGTTACCCGTGTTGGAAGATTTTTACAATTAACAGGAAATTCTTCTGTTCATAATGTTTTCAGGTGACTGAACGAACAACACTGAACATTTGCCTACAGGATGAATCTATAATATATGTATATATATTTCAGGTGTCTATATTTCCCTTTCTTCTATAATATTGTGTGATTTACTTGGCTTAGAACACCTTACAAGTGCCTTTGGTTTATTAACATTAGCCCGTGGTTTATCATCCTGTGCTGGACCACCTATAGCAGGTAAGAGATATAAAATCCTGTTTTGTTCAGGTCAAAAATGTACAGGACATATAGATTGTCTTATTTTAATGTTGAGGACATGCAAAATATCATTTAGCAACACTCAACAGTTTCCGTAAAGCTGAATCTGACTCGGTAATGAATGCGTTGTGTCTTCATGGGCATGACTCTTTACTTCCAGTTTTTAACGGTGATTGTAATATTGCGATCTGAATATACATGTAGTCTTATTAGAGACGGTAGAAGATAAACCTTTCACTAATTTATTCATTTAATGCTATTCGTTCACCAATAAATACATTTTATTATCATTTTGAATCCATATCTTACAAAGTATTTGTTTCTATTGTATTTGTCTACAAATACACGTAGTCCTGTACGACCAGCCTCTGATATTTAAATTAACACGTGACAATATTGACATAGTTTCGGTGTATAATAGTCGCCATTTATTTCCGTGATTTGTTGCAGAGCGATTTGCGTAACTTTTACGGTAGGACGTTTTGCAAATGATTGGGATATCGAACGAAACCGACACTTGATTTTGTTGGAAAAGAATCAAAAATGTCCATTCATTACATTTTCGAGATGATCAATGAATAAAATTTTCGCGATTTAGTCGTTTTCGTTTGAGAGATATTTAAGGTTTAATAGCTTCGAATAGTATTTATATCATTTTTATACGCCCACATGGAAATGTGGACGTATATTACCGTCGCCCCTGTCCATCGGTCAGTCAGTCGGTCTTTTGGTCCGTCGGTCCGTCAACATTTCTTGTGAACACAATAGAGACTACAGTTTTCAAATGATTGTAATGAAATTTGGTGTGATCATTTATTTTGATGAGATCTTGGTCAAGTTAGAATTTGACGCTCTTTCGACAAACGGTTTTTGAGTTATTGCCCTTGATTTAGGAAACACGCATCAAAATTTGTTTTTGAACACAATAAAGACTACAGTTTTCAATTGATTTTAATGAAATTTGATGTGATCATTCATATTGATGAGATCTTGGTCAAGTTAGAATTTGACGATCTTTCGACAAACGGTTTTTGAGTTATTGCCCTTGATTTAGGAAAAACGCATCGAAATTTGTTTGTGAACACAATAGAGACTACAGTTTTCAATTGATTTTAATGAAATTTGATGTGATCATTTATATTGGTGAGATCTTGAACAAATTCGAATTTGATATTTCAATGAACGGTCTTTGAGTTATTGCCTTTGACTTAGGAAAAACGCGATAAAATTTGTTTGTGAACACATAAGAGACTACAGTTTTCAATTGATTTTAATGAAACATGGTGTGATTATGTATATTGATTCGATAATTTGATGTGTTTGGATTATTTATATTGATTTTTAAAAATTTGGTGGAATTTCTCAGCATATATATATATATCATTGAATTCAAACTAATAAAATTTCTTTAATATAAGAAAATTTGTACTTTAGTCACTAAAGACTGTTTTACCATTTCTTACAGCTGCCAGTGGGCGTATGTTACCTTGCCTGGCAAGCTATCTTACTCCTCTATACATTATGACTTCATAATCTGTGTGGGAGCCGAGGTGGCTCAGTGAGTTTGACGCTTGATCGCTGACCTGAAGGACCACCGTTCTATCCCGGCATAGGTCGAGAAAATAACTTCGGATTTTCCCCCCGTATCAGTGATGCAGGTCGGCGGGGCTGACATGGAAAAAGTGTCTAGTCGTTCAGATGGGACAATAAACCGAGGCCCCGTATGCTATAGGCTGTTCACGTTAAAGATCCCTCGACAGTTGGAAATAGTAATAGAGTAGGCTTATGCCGCTGTACCGGCAAACTTATTTCATTGAATATCTGTGGTGACTAGTGAATTTTTTTTGGATATATTTTGTATTTTAGGTGCAGTTTACGAAATGACACAAAGTTTAAATCCATCTTTTTATTTAAGTGGGGCAATGATTACCGCTGGAGCTGTATGTCATTTTATATTGATGATGCCATGCATGAGACGTTTTGCACCAGAAAGAAACACGGAAGTTGCAGACGAATAACTTGACTGTATCACTGTATGCCTTGAAAGTTAATGGACGGTGGTTTGCTGCAAATTATTCTGAAAATATCATATTTTAGTATGATCTGGTAAAGACCCAAAAAATATTGGGTGGTTGTTGACAATAATCTATGTGGATTTGATACTCGTTTGTAGAGGTCTCTCAGTTGAATCTATCAAGTAGTTTGATAAACATCGTGTCTTATTGAAACGGGCACATTTGATGCTAATCCGGAAACAAAATCAAGCAGTGGAAGGGAAATTTCTTATTCTGATCCCAATATTTTGCAATAAGATTATTTGATAACTGGTTTTGGTCTTCACATAGTGTTTTCACTACTAATCTGCAACATAATATTTGTCGTTGTCACAACAGAAGAGAACAGCTTTCGCTAACGCAAAAATATTATCATTCTTAAATAAACTTATACAACAATTTTACTCTGCTGCTATAATCTTGTTATCATACGTTCACATTATAATGTTGATGACGCCTTCTCTGACATTCCGTCTGTTCGTCCACTAGGTAGTTTTATTATACGCCCACATGAATATGTAGTCGTATATTGTCGTCACCCCTGTCCGTCGGTCCGTCCGTCAACATTTCTTGTGAGCACTACAGAGACTACAGTTTTTATCTGATTTTGATAAAACTTGGTGTGATGCTTTAGATTGATAAGATCTCGGTCAAGTTCGAATTTGACATATTTTCCATGAACGGTTTTTGAGATTTTGCCCTTGACTTTGTTAGAACGCTTCGAAATTTGTTAAAAATGAAGCTACAGTTTTCAACCGATTCTGATGAAATTTGGGGTGATCATTGGAATTGATAAGATCTCGGACAAGTTCAAACTTGACACATTTTTGATTAACGGCTTTTGAGTTATTGCCCTTGACTTTGTTAAAACGTGTTGAAATTTGTTAAAAATAGTTTGTGAGCAGGATTGACGCTACAGTTTTAAACAGATTCTGATGAAACTTGGTGTGATTATTGGAATTGATAAGATCTCTGACAAGTTCTAATTTGACGCATTTTCGATGAACGGGTTTTGAGTTATTGCCCTTGACTTTGTAAAAACGCGTCAAGATTTGTTAAAAATATGTCGTGAGAAGGATTGAAGCTACAGTTTTCAACCGATTCTGATGAAACTTGGTGTGATCATTGGAATTGATAAGATCTCGGACAAGTTCTAACTTGACGCATTTTCGATGAACGGTTTTTGAGTTATTGCCCTTGACTTTGTTAAAATGCGTCAAAATTTGTTCGTGAGCACAATAGAAACTACAGTTTTCAACCGATTCTGATGAAACATGGTGTAATCATTGAAATTGATAAGATCTCGGACAAGTTCTAACTTGACGCATTTTTGATGAAATGTTTTTGAGTTATTGCCATTAACTTACGAAAAAATCAACTTACGAAAAACGCATCAAAATTTGTTTGAGACCACAATAGAAGCTACAGTTTTGAACTGATTTTGATGAAACTTGATGTGATCATTGGAATTGATAAGATCTCGGACAAGTTCTAACAAGAGATATTTTTGATGAACATTTTTTGAGTTATTGCCCTTGACTTTGTAAACACGCGTCAAAAGTTGTTATTTGCCCTTGATTAGAGCTGTGTGATTTAATTGTTTGTTGTATTTGGGTTATTGATATTGGGTTTTAAAAAATTTTGTGGAATTATTCAGCATAAATAACTGGCATATATATATATGTAATTGAATTCAAACTAATAAAATTTTTTCAATATGCGAAAATTCGTACTTTAGTCACTAAAGACTGTTTTATCATTTCTGACAGCTGCCAGTGGGCGTATGTTACCTTGCATCGCAAGCTATCTTTCTGCTAATCTTCGATATGTTTTATTGGATCTGGAATTTAAATTCTTTGCGTTCAAAGGGGGTCAGGGTAAGATCGTGTAATGAATGGTCGCCCAGGTTAAAATGATTAGAAACAGGCTTGTGTCTCTTTAATTTGATCTATGATCTCCGAAAAACGAGTGCGTAATTTTGTTTTCGTTTCTGCTACATATATTATTCTTTTATGCAATTTTTTAAATTTGCTTGCTAATGTGTATCGATCTGGTTTTGGGTGAGTTCGATTGCTCGATTCTTAGATTTTACCGTTGACTGAAATACGACAAATATGGTCAGTGAACGCGATAGACACAATTGATTTAATTTACGCGAACTTGATGTGCAAACTTATACTGATGAGGCCTCATGAGGTTCATTTGTCTTTCGCCTAAGCTAAATAGATTCAATACTTTTGAACACAATAAAGACTGGTTGAGTATATTGGATTGGATTAATGCTTACTATAATTTTGAAAATTTTGTTTATGTATGTGATTGAGGTTTGAAAAATTGTTCAAAAGGAATGCTACCCTGAGTGGCTGCTGAGTGGGCGTATGACCTTTCCAGCGACTGCTCCAAAATAAAATAAGAGAAATACATTGAATGTTTTTGAATTTGTACGGTATATTGACACATTATCGTATGATTATTGGTTGAATGTTCCCTATATTTTATATTATTTTTTCTTCTTGTTACTTTTTTTCGTCTTGACATGTATTCATATTTTAACTTTAACTTTAAATAAAAAAATTGTTACATGAATCATAATCTTTTTAATGACTAAGTATATAAATAGTTAATAAAGATATAAACAACATGTAAACAAGCCTGCATGTGGCACAAAAGTATTTCAAAGCAACCTTTTGGACTTCTATTTATCTCCTCGCGATTTCGATGAAAAAAACAACCGAAAAAAATTATTCATACAGTCCGCTCAGATTGCTGAATTACCCTCATCTATATGTTTGCTTTTTAAAGACGTCTTCGAATGAACATAAAATTTTAATTTTGCTCAAATTTGGCCAATAATAGTATATATCCATCAGTGTAATCCGGTGTAATCACAAGGGGAAGTAACTCTCAAGTGGGATTTACCGCGTCCTTGACCTCTACACTCTAATTGACCTCGACATTGTCAGACATATTTTGAATAATAATGCCTCGTAGGAGATTAAGCGACTCTGACAAAAAGCAATTCATATAATTTAGAATGAATACTCCACCACTGACACAATTTTCAACGAATAGTAATCATTGGAAAAGTTTGTTTGTATACACCGGAAGATGATTGTTTCCTGTTTTAGCGTTGAGTACCCAGACTCTTTTTTTCTCAAACTGAACAGATTCATCGCTTGCTCTTTTTTTTTTAAAAAAAATTCTGATTATAGTTTTATTGTCGATTTTTCAAACTTAATAAAGTATGGGATGCATACTTATTTAACCAATGGTCACTATTAAACATAAATAGTAGCAACAGGACGAGTGTATTCTAAGACGTAGTATCCCTTTAATTAATCAAAAATATATTTTATAAAGTACTCGTATTAACTCCAGGATATATTAGAACTACAGGTAGGCAGAAAAGTGTGGTTTGTCCCAATCTAATAAATTAGTCTACAATTTCGTTTCGTTATTTTTTTTATTTCGTGTGACTGCTAATCTTAAAGGATTCAGACCAATACCGTTGACGTTCATTACAACCAATCACAGGGCGTCAAGCGAAACTCAAAGTAGAACGAAATGAACAATGAGATTATGAGACTGCCGATACTAGCTTGTAAAAATGATTCTAATTGCCGGAAAGGCGGTGGGCGGTGTCCTGCTATAAATAGCTTGCAACAACAACATCATGTGAAACTACCAACTACTACTACTACCAACAACTATCTAGTCTGCGATATCAGCATCCGCTGGAAACAAAATATTAAAGATCTCACCATCAACTACTCCACCTCTCGCTTGTTTTCTATCAAACAAAAACTTGCTGAATTAGATCGAGAGAAAACTTACATAGAAAACCATGAAAACTTGAACATCGCGTACTACAAAGATAAATTTAATAAAGCTATAGAAAATATAAGACATCTTGAACTGAAACTAAATAAAGATGTCCTCCCTAAGGTCGAAATTGCCTTATGAAGACAGTGATCTGGAGAACATCCATATCTTTAAGAGAAATTCTATTCAAAGCTCTATTCTGCCGACCCTATACACCAATCTGACATTGATGAGTACCTCAACAACTCTAGCATCACACCTCTACCGCCAGCTGAGATAGAGGCCATAGACAATCAGATCCTTTCCAAACAAGAAATTTTCCAAGCGCTTTCAGAATTCCGAGATGACAAGTCACCTGGAATTGATGGCATTCCAAAAGAATTTTACTTCCTCTATAAAACAGTTAGTTACCTCCAAAATGTAAGGATGTTAAGTTAATTTAACAATGAATTTAATATTCATCCAGGATGACTTGTCAGAGGTTATTAACAACATATATCTCCAAGGAAACTTGTCAGAAAGCATGAACATCTCTGTTTTATCCATACACTATAAAAACAAGGGCTCACGTAAGGATCTGAAAAACTATTGGTCGATTTCTCTGCTGACGGTAGACTATAATATAGTAGCCAAGGTGATAGCCAATAGGCTAAAACTTATACTAAACTTACTCTTATATGATACTCAATCGGGAGCAGGCCAAGACAAATATATCGTCAACAACCTGCTCTCGATTGACTTCATATATGAGTATGCTAACCAGAAGGATGGCTGTGTTGGCCTACGATCAGGAAAAAGCCTTCGATAGACTCAACAGGACCTACATCAGTACCCCTCTGGAATGGGTGGGGCTTCCATCTTGTATTATCAAATGGATCTCCATCCTTTATAAGGACCTTAGGGTGTATTGCTTAGTGTGTAGAACCCTTACAAACTGTTTTACTCTCGAAAGAGGTGTAAAACAAGGCTGTACCCTTTCAATAGCCTTATACGCACTAGCGATACACCCTCTGGCCCTTAACATCTCCAACAATCGATACATTATAGGTATTGATATACCAAATTATCACCGGCAGACGGACACCCAGACGATCCCGAGTCCTTGTCCAGCCTTGACCAAGATAGGAACTTTGAGCGGGCCT